TCTTTTTTTTAAAGTTATATAAATTTTATTATTTTTTTTTTTTTTTTTTTGTTTTTCCCTTTCTTCAAAAGAGGAAGCTTCTGTATGTATAATTTGTTATATGTGTTGATACTGTTTACATGTCTGGAACTCCACCTCTTCTGGATTGAAAATTAGTTAAGATGATGTGCTGCAACACGTACTAGCTTTATTTGTGACTGATTAGAACTTGGCCTAATACATGATAGATAAAAACTTAGCTGTTTGTCCATGTGTGTGACATTTAGTCGAGGCAGCTTCAGGATGCTCACTATGACCTGCTTTGGCTTCTTCCCTTCATGTTAGTTTAATCTTTTTTTACTGCATAAATCCCACCCAACTTCTAGTATTATCAATTTTTATAGTTTGGTGAAGTAAGATGCGCGAGTCTTTTTGGTTTTGTGATGCTTAATTAACTTTCATTGCTTCTTTATGAATACACAAGTGGGCATTGTGTGTATACTTTGTTTACTTTTGACATGGGAAAAATATGTTTACTTGACCGCATTACTTTCAATGATTATTTTTCCCCTCTTTTCAAATGAGGAAGCTTCTGCATGTATAATGTGTTATCTGTGTTGCTCTTGAGTTCTATTCCATTCTCTCTATACTTTGGTATGTTTATTTGAACTATGCAGGCAAAGAATCGAATATGCAGATTAATTCAAAGTGGTATAGAAAGTGGGGCTAGACTTGTTCTTGATGGGAGACATGTTGTGGTATGCTTAACTTCTCTTTTGAATACCTATTTGTTGCTTTTGCAGAGTATTTATTTGTAAAATACTCGGGGGTTACTGAGAATATCTTACACTTGCAAAGTATTTTGATGGGCGTTGCCTCTTGGGTGACCTGTGTATTCTAATCCACTGATATTAACTATATTTATCCTTGATAGAAAATGCATGCATTCTAACGGATAGATGTAGTAACAATTATGAATGGTAATCTAATTGTTGAAAATTTTGGATTACTAGCTACGGAGATTGTTCAATTGAAAGAATACTCGTTGTCTTTTATTGAGCTGTTAAAACTTCCATCTCAATCATTGATCCTCTCTGAAGGAGAAAAACACACCCTACCACAACCACGCACTAAACTATAAGAAATTGAACTGATATAAATTCATTTTGTTGTGTCTCAGTTTTGGTCAATTGCGAGGTTTATATATTACTGCACAAATTCGTTATTTCTTGGACCTTAAAATCTTGGAAGAACTTGATGTATTCTCTCTGTCCCAAGAACATCTTCCTGCTGGTTTTGCAATTCGCTGAGGGTGTATTAAAAGCAAGTGAAATAATTGAAGTTATCAAAACAACTTTATGAGGGAAAAAAAAAAAAATCAATGCTCATCATGATAAAAGGAAAGAGTAACATCGCCACAATTGACCCATGCAACAACAAATAAGGGAAAAAATAACCCTCATTAAAAAAAAATAATACATAAATAAACTGTGTTAAAAGATTAATAATTATATGACCTAAACATGTTGAAAATTGTTAATAAACTAATAGTTGACATTTATATAAGAATTTAATTACAAATTTATCTTCTTTTTCATGAAAAAGGGGAAACGTGAAAAATAAGAGAATCATATTGAAAAGTGATAGAAAATACTAATTAATTTTTAATTTCATAAAAAAGTTGAATTTTATCGTGGCAGTAGAGTTCGTAGAAGGGGGGAAAAAAAAGAAAATTTTGACAAAAGAACAAAATCTCTCATATTGAAAGACGTGTTTTTCCGAGAGTATGCCAAAGTTTTGGGGGTGAGTAGAGACAAATTGCGTGGGTCTTTATTTATACCTTGTGCTAGTTGTGCTTAAAAGTTAGTAAATAGAGAATTTGTAAAAAGTATTAACATTTTGAATACCCAACTTTGTTGGATTTTAAAAGTTTTAGATTAAATATGCATGACTTAAGGTGCTTTAAAAGTCTATCAAAGTTTATATTGTATACATCGCGACTTTTATAGAATTAGGTCTCTACGAAATAGTTTAAATTTAATATAGACTTTTATGGAGCTAAGAAGCTTGGGTATATTAAGCCCCCGTTTGTTTTTCATTTTTGTGAAAATGAGAATGAAAAATATAGTCGTTACGGTTCCCACACAAGAGATATAAATTCAAATTTAGTGACTTGATGTGGTGGATAACGATCATATTTTTCATTTTAATAAGAAAAGAATGGGAAACAAACGGGGGCTACATTAAGACTTTCTAAACTCTATAAATTTGTTGGGGGTATTCAATAGACTTTTATAGACTTCTAAAAAGCTTTTTAAAGGACATGGGGTGTTCAATTTAGACTTTTTGAAATCATGGGAAAGTTAAGGGTATTCAAAATATCAATGACTTTTTATAAGATTCTCTGTATATTAACTTTTAATCACAAAGAATAAATAAAAAATCCAGACGGTATCTCTATCATTGGAAGTCTTTTATAAGATTCTCTACTTACTAACCATGAAAGACTTTTAAAGTCTTTCTTTCTTCAATATTTGCCTTTTCTATTTTCCTCTACGAATATTAGAGCCAGGATCAATTACTAACTTTTTTTTAATAATAAAAGATTAATATTTTTTTTCTTCTACGTGATTTTCTCTCTTTACATATTCTTCTATATTGGATTTTGTGTGCAATAATAAAGAGATGAAAGAATCAACACAAGTATTTACATGGTTCGACGATGTGCATACGTTCAAGAGGAGCGAAGTGGAGATAATTTTTATTACGTATGAATAATAGGGTTACATCATTAGTATTTATACAAACCCTAGCCCAAACTCATACAAGACTTTTAAGACCGTATAAAAAAAATACCCCTGTACTGTACCGTGGGGGTGTTGTCCTGCACCCCAACCCATTCAATGTCCTTAGCAAGCAGACAGTGAATTAAATCCCACAAAGGTCTATGCCATCTCTCCGCTTCGCTCCAGCATCAACCTATTTGATTCAATAAACCTGTGTTCCACTCTATATGAGCCACATACACAACAATTTCTACCTTGGTGAATATTCACCCCTTAGGAGAAAAATACTGAGAGACATGACCTGGGAAACCACACCATTTAGGACCAATGGGGGGTTGGAACACAACCTCTCTAACACTTAGATATGTTAATCAAGTTCAAGCAATGTTTGAACCTATCCATTGTAATTGACTTTGTCAACATGTTTGCTGCATTCTCTGAGGTATGCACCTTCTCTAACAGTTCTCCTAAAGTAACCAACTCTATTATCTTATAAAATCTCACATCAATGTGCTTCGTTCTTGCATGATGGATCTAATTCTTTGCTATGAAGATGGTGCTCTGACTATCATAATACAACTTCATTCCATCTTGCTTGATACCAACCTCTTTGACAAGTCCTCTCAACCACAAGAATTCCTTGGCTGCCTCAGTTGCCGCCATGTACTCTGCTTCAGATGTGGATAATGCCACAAGCGACTACACTATCGATCTTCAACATATAAGCGCACCTGCGAGTGTGAAACATAACTTGTTTAGGACCTTCTATCATCTAAGTCGCATGCATAATCTATATCTACGTGCCCTCAAGTACCTAAAATTTCACTTTATAGCTCTCCAATGCTCTCTGTAAGGATTATCCATGTACTTGCTCATCACACTGATTGCATGTGTTAGATTTGGTCTAGTACACATCATTGCATATATCAAACACCCAACTGCGCTAGCATAAGGCACCTTTGACATCTCTATAATTTCTTCTTCATTCCTTAGGCATTGATTACTAGACAATTTGAAGTGATTTGTCAATGGTGTATTCACTGTTTTTGCATCGGACATGTTAAACCTTTCCAACACTTTCTTCAAATTATCTTCTGAGACGCCCATACTTTTCTGGCATTCCTATTTCTGTTGATCCCTATGCCAAGAATCTTCTTAATCAGTCCCAAGTCTTTCATATCAAACTTATTGCTCAACAAAGACTTCAATATGTCTACTTCATTCATGTTCCTAGCAGCAATTAACATGTCATCCACATACAACATCAAGAAAATATATGAATCATCACAAAGAACTCTATTGTAAACACAGTAGTTATACTTATAGTGACTCTGGCCTATCTGAATCATGTGGGAGTCGAACTTCTTGTACCATTGCCATGGTGACTACTTAATCCCATATAAAGACTTCTTCAGGTTACACAAGATTCTATGTTCCGGGTTCCAATGACCATTCTGATCGCTCCATGATAATTTGCTTCTCCAAATTACCATGAAGGAAAGCAGTATCCAGATCTAGCTGTTCTAACTCTAAATCAAAACTGGCCACTATTGCTAAGACAATCCTCATAAAAGTGTCTGATGACTGGAGAGAAAATTTCATCATAATCTACTCCCTCCCTTTGCGAGTATCCCTGTGCTATTAACAAAGCCTTGTATCTTTTCCCTTCCTTTTTTTGACATTGCTTCTTTCTTTCTGTACACCCACTTTACACCCTATCGGTCTCTTCCACTCTGGAAGCTCTACCAAATCCCATTATAACCTCTATCCATTTACTTTTCTTCTGACTACCAATGGTATCCTGAAAAGTTATAGGATCGTTATTGCTGGTAATGAGTGCATAAGAAATTGAATCTTCGAATCTATACTTCATTGGTGGTTTGATAGTGCGACGTGGTCTATCTTTGGCAATACTATGATACTACTCCCTATCTGCGTCAGAACTGTCTACTTCCTGAGCATTAGTCTACACGTCAACATTGTCTAACTCTACTTGCACCACTTGGCTCTTACTGCTTCCCTCACCTGAACTGAGCTTCTCTTCATCTGGAGAAGCTTTAAGCATGATGTTTCATCAAATATTGCATCCCTACTTATTACCATCTTCTTTGCCTTTAGATCCTAAAACTTATACCCTTTTACACATTTTACATCGCTTAGAAAAATGCACTTTCTTGATTTCAAATCAAGCTTGGATATCTGATCACTAGACACATGTATATAAGCCGGACACCCAAATACTCTCAATCCAGAATAATCAACTTCATTACTTGTCCAAACTTATTCTGCAACTTTCTCATCTGGTGCTGCTCGTGGTGATCTATTTATGACATAACATGCCATGTTCACCACTTTTGCCCAAAAGCCTCAAACATCTTGCTTGTTCTGCAACTGTTCTGTTCATCCTCTTCGCCTGTGTCTTGCTAACTGTATAGTGCCATTGAATATAATGCTCACAAAATTTCAGGAACTGTGAATCTGTGTACTCTATACTGTTGTTTGTCCTGAGATACTTAATTTTCTAGCCTGTCTGGTTCTCTACTTCTGCTTTCTACAATCTGAACTTGGCAAAAGTTTCAGTCTCGTGCTTCATAAAATATACCCAAGAAATACTGACATCCACCTTAGGACAACTCCCTTATTGGTCCTCAATATCAAAATGCACACAATCAAGAATGCCCTATGTCTTGTGCTTTCCTGTCTTGAAGATTGTTTTCCAATTACACAGAACTTGCAGAAATCCGACTTGCTTGATTTTACCCCTTTCAACAAGTTTCTCTTGTGAAGCTCAATCATACCACATTCTCTTATATGCCTGAGTTGCATATGCCATAGAGGAGTCATCTGATTTAGATTTTGCTGTACCAACTCCACCTACAATTGTATTCCCCTGTAGTTTGTAGATGTTCCCAGCCAATTTTTGACCTTTCATCCCGATCAAACCCCTTCTTTTCACTGTTGAAGCCCCACCC